TAAGCAAAGTTAAAAGCTTATGGGTAAAGTTAAGGCTTATAAGTAGGTAAAGTTAAAAGCTTATAAGCAAGTAGTTAAGGCTCCTAAGTAGGTGAAGTTAAAAGCTTATAAATAGGTAGTTAAGGCTTATGGGCAGGTAAAGTTAAAAGCTTGTAAAAAAGTAAAGGTAAGACTTTATTTTTATAAAAGTTTAAAGCTTATAAAATATGATTTTTAAAGCTTAAAAGTTTGCAAGACTTTTTTATAAGGCATAAAGGCTAAGTAAGTAAATACTAGCATAAAAAATATATAAAATATATAAAGTATTTAGTAAGAAGTAAGTAAAGGCAGGAAATTTAAAGTATATAAGTAGGTATTATATTACTTAAGGTACTAAAAAATCTTACAAGCTATTTTGCCTAGCAAGCTAAAAAAAGCTTATAAAATATATTTACTTAATAAAAAAAATAAAAGGGGCTAATAAAAAGGTATGCTTATAAAAAGCTAATAGCTAGTTTATAAAAAAAGAAATTAAATAAAAGCTTTAATATTAAGCTTACTTAAAAAAAGCGCGAAATAATAATATTTTATAAATACTAAAAGCAATTATAACCTATAAAAAGGTAAAAACATTATAAATATTAACTTTTTTATAAAAATTATAAAAAAATAAATAAGGTAAAATTTAATTAAAAAAATAAGATATAGCTAGTATTTTTATATAAGCTTAAAATATTAAAATAACTATAAACTTTAAATAAATTTACTTATAAAAAATTAGTAATACCTACAAGCATGCTTATATTTTATATAAAATTTTAATATTATTAAAAAAAGACTCCGCGGAATAAAACCTAATATATTTAAAAAAAGTATTAATAAAGTTTAGCCATGTAAAAAAGGTATAAATAAAATATACCTTTTTTTATTATATATAATAAAAAAATTTTTTATTAAAGGTTTTTTATATACCAGCAGGGGTTTTTTAAAAATATTTTATAAATTATATATTTTTATTTATTTACAAGGCCTTAAAAAACTAAGGCTATAAAAAAAAGGTAGTTATAAGGCTTATTATATTATATATAGCCTTTTTATAAAACTTAAAAAAATTTATAAATAACTTTACTTATAAATAACTAAGTTAGCCTTAAATATTAATTTAATATATATTAAAAATATTTAGGCTTTGCAAGGCTAGAAATTTAAACCTTAATATTAATTTTAATATCTTTACTTTTTTAAAAATTACTATTTATAAACCTTTTTTAAAGTATATATTATACCCTATCACATTATTTGCAAATCCCTAAGGCCAAGGACCTTATATCTAACCTTGCTTGGCTAAGTCAGGTTACTAACTTAATACATATTACCTAGTAACTTTAAGCTAATAATATATAAATTAATTATTAAGTTTAATAATTTATTTATTTATATATATTTTATTTACTTTTTTAGCCCTTTTATTTTTTAAAAACCCTAAGTTTTTAGCTAATTAATTTTTTAATTAAAGTATTCTTAATAACATAGTAAAAAAGTTTTTATACCTATTAAATACTTTTAAAATTACTAAATTTAAAAAGTATATTAATTAAAAATTAAAAAAAAATATAGATATTAAGGTAAATAGCATAACTTTAGTAAGCCCTTTTAATCTAACTTATTTTTATTCTATTTTTTATTTATACTTTACTTTTATTAAAAAATAACATACTATACCGCCTAGTAATAAGGTACTCTTAGTTAAACCTTTTATAATAAAGCTAGGAAAAAATCACGTGATAAAAGCAAGAAATAATATAATTTATAAACATTATTTATTTTTTATATTAAAAAATTATAGTAAACTAGCTTAAAGTCTACATTAGCTATGTTTTATAATTAACCTAGGTAATCTTTATAATAGCAACAGCAGTAATAGCAAAGGTAATACTTTTTTTAAAAAAATTATAACTTTTAAGCCAGCAAAAGTTTATTTTTACTAGGTGTTTAAATTAAAACTACTACAAGCCTATTCTTGCTGGAAAGGCCACGTAATATATTTAATAATAATAATATAAATATAGCACCTGGAGGTGCTAGTAATAAACTTATTAGTTAACTAGGGTAATAACCACACGTGCCTAATATATAATAATAAGCCTAGTAGCCTTAGGCTCTTAATTTAAATGATATTTTTTAACCCCTGCGCGATGGAAATTATATAATATATAAAATAAATAATAGGATTGGCCAGCTGAAAGCTAGGTTTAGTTATTATAATTTTTAATAATAGTAACCTATTATTTTTTCAGTTAATTTTTAATAACAAGTTTCTTTGGAATAGCAAGTTTCTTTGGTTAATATATAAAACCCGCTTAACTACGCCATTTTTTATAATAATTTACTTAACCACGCTATTCCAAACCCTTAACCTGCTATTTTTTACATTAAATTTTAAATTTAATTTTATAATAAAATATATAACAAGCACAGGCGGCCTAGCAAGGTCTTTTTATTTAAAAATTTAATATGCCTTTTATAATTTTTATTTTTTAACAACAAGCAGGTAAAGCCAAGAATGTTGCGTATTTAAGTAACTAAAAAATAAAAAAAAAAGATATTTTTAGCCTAACCTAAAAAAATAATATTATTATTAAGCAAAAAGAACACCTAATATATTATAAAAATATTTACATGTTTATAAATTATTTACATAATGTGGTTACCTATAAGGGTAAACTAATACTTTAGTTTTATATTACTACTTATTTATAGGGTATAGCCTTATGTTATTTAACCTAAAAAAAAGGACTTTATAAAATATTACTAAAAAAAAGGCTGGTTTAGCTAGCTAGTTTTAAGGTTTAAGCTAAATTCTTATATAATATTATTAAAATTATAAAGCCTAAAATATGGTTATAAAAATATGCGTGCTAGTAATTTCTTATAATCTTATACTAAGAAAATAATTAAACACTGCAGAGCGGCAGAGATTACGGACGAGTTTAACTAAATAAGCATGATCTGGAGCCATTTGGATCCCCAACTCAGGAAACCCTAAACCCTACGCCCATACCGCCTTCCTCCCTAAGGCGTTTGACAAGAGCAAGGCAACATTGGAATAGGTACCTAGCAACAAGAGGAATGGCCTCCCCTACCCTAGGGTAGGCAGCGTGAACATGCGAAGATTTATATCAAACACTGCGTGCCTAGGAATGCCTTCGCAGGCAAACCCGGAAAGGCAAGCTACAAAGCGCTAGCAGCGATAATCTCCCCTATACTGATACTGCCAGACACGGTTTTGGTGAACGGTGTATTCAGCAGGACCGGGCGCATCATGCAACAAATGCAAGGAAGGATGCTGTTAAGGCAGAATACTAAGCCGTCTTCCAAGCTGCGTTAGCACTCCATATCGCCCGGGCAGATAGAGTGACGTCTAGACATGTTCCAGGGCCTTTTACCAACTCCATGTCACAAGTTAACCATCCGTCATCACCACCCAACAGGCTTTCCTCGAATCTATACCGTCCTGTGAGTAAATGGAGAGCTGGCAGTGGCAGAATTCATTCCCGGCCAGGTAGGCAATGGCCTTCACATGTGCAGCCTTGCGGTGCTATAATCCCGCGTAAGTAGGATTAATATGTCATGGTAACTGTTGACGTAGACAAGGAGCCGCGCCCTTGCGTGTTTCAATTGAAGGGCCGAACTCAAGCCCAGTATCGTGGAAACACGTAAACGGGCTATTGAGAACCAAGTAGAGATGGTGGATTGAGCAAATATTTCGTGCTATCAGACTCAGCTTAGGGTTGTAGGGTTTAGAGTTCTCCGCCGGTCTTGCCTATGTGGCAATTTCGCGCTTGAAGACGCCATGGGGCCTAACTTTTGAGCGGCTGCAATTATTTAGCCTTTACTGATTACGTGTATGTTTGGAATGATCCCTAATACTGGTGGAGGGATTATTGTGCCGATCTCCGGCTCGCCTTTGCCATTACCATCAACTGAACCCACCCCGAGCTCGTACTTGAGTCTTGGGTACCTCACCCACACCGTGGCAGCGGTCGCCTTGATAGTACGTTTACTCTTGTGAAGACCTGTACCGGTATAGTGACTGTCCTTGGCGCCCCTTAATTATCAAAGACATCAAATATTGCTGCGAAAAGTGCATGGAGGAAATCGCCGCATTTAAGTTCTTGTAGCTACGGGATTGCTTCTGCAATTATAGGGAGCCTTGGGACCATTTGAACGACGCTCGTGGCTGGGTCATGGCGTCAGCTTGAGTGGTCGTACTCAAGATACTTGGCTACTGATTCTTGTCCTGAGTCTTGCGTCTAACACGAGAATCAAAGCTAGATTGCGCGCGGATGTAGATATGATGGGCCGCGATCCAAGTAATAAAGCAGAGTGCCGTTTAACCATCACAATGCTACTCTTGGGATAATTAAAACTGATAGGCTATTCATCCCCCGTGATATGATAACAACTCTACCGAAGTTTACATTGGAAGCTTGCCTTACCTGAAATCTTACAGAGGCGTGCTGAAGAAAATGTCAGGGGATATGGATTATTTCATTCTCTATAAGCAGGGTGATTATAGAATACACCTTACTTTACCAGACCTATTGGAGGCTAAAGACATTGGCAGAGTATTACTAGGCATTATTCAATGCTTGGCTTATATATAAAGTTCCTTATTATATGATGGTAATAAACTCTGATTATGAATGGGTTACAAAGGCCTGATTCACTTGATGGAGCAATTGCTTACGCCCTGATTAGGTATGGTACTGCTTCAACTTCAAATCTGTCTCCATCGATTCCCTCACTTTTGGTTCGGCGATCTCACTGAGATCTGGGCCATGGCGCCCATACCAAAGGTTCCTGGATCCATGAATATATACTCCAGGTCACCCCAGCTCCTCAGGAAATATCCATCCCGTTTGAGCTCCAGGTGGGTATTAAATACCCCAGCCAGCCACTGCTGTATACAAATAGGAGCGACGCCCATATGCGTGCCCCTCCTGGCTCTGTGCAGTGAAATGCCAGCTTTCTCTGAAGATCTCTGCTTCCCTGGGTTTCAGAGCAAAGACCCCAAATCCAGCGACATCAGTGAACTTTCTCTAGATCCAAATATGTGCTCGTCTACTTACCCCAACTTCCCCATGTCAGGCATCTTCACGATCGGGTGCTTCCGATGCTGGAGCCTTGAATGTGGCAGCAATACCGATAGTTGGATTCTGCCAACTGCGACCTTTGACACTATCCATAGATCCCAGTACGATCAGATGAAGGAGGACCTCATTACGGGAACCCCGAAGACGGCGAAACCTATGGTCGTATCCCCAAACCGCAGTTTGAATCTTGAGCACGCCAAGGTAGGAAAGATCATGCCGATTGCTTTGGGGAACGTGACAGAAGATATGAGATCCGTCTCGCTACATTTGGTTACTCTCAGACATCATGGTCTTACCTGCGACTGTACCCAACTAGCACTACCCAACATTGCCAACAACGCGGACCAAACCTCTAAGACGGCCCACTGAGTATAAAAGCATGCATACAACGCTAGCTCCACTTCTCTAGCCCCGCGACTTTAGAGATGTTTTTTATTGCGTTGAAGAATACGTGAGATGCGATGTTCACAGGCTTAAGCCCTTCCATCTTGCCATCCTTTACAGGGTCGACGCTCGTAACAGGGAACGGGCACACCACCCAGGTAATCAAGCGGGTTCCACTAAGCCATGTACCCGACCCCTAGTACCGCGACAAGTCGTGCGGCATTGCGGCGCCGAAGGACGGCGGACAGAGAATGCCGTCGACTTCGCCGCGCCCATCAGAGGAAGAGGCGGTTTTGTTCCAGGCGTTCGCGTAGAAGGCGCGGTGGGCGTCTTGTTCGGCGCAGAGCTAGTGCACTTGATGTGTGGGTATAAACAGACGTCGGGAAGATTGCACAGGGCATACTGGGTGGGTAGGTAGAACTGACCCTGATAATGCATGGTACTGCCTAGATCTCCTCAAGCAACTGTCTCTTGGTTTGGCGCCAGAAGAGGCTGGTGAGATTGATGATGTGGTGGTGATTTCTTATATCTGACAGCAGTGCCTCGGGCTTCCAATATTGAGACGTGGCATGCGTATTATGTATCACTCGCGCAATCTCAAACAAAGCGCATATAGGAGATTGTACAAATAGTCCGGCCCAGATACTTAGGTACCTTACTTCGCTCCATAATAATAATATTGGCCCCGACCCTATAGTGGTCCTCCTTGTTTCTGCCCGCCAGGTCGCCGTCGTTATAGAAAAAACCAACAGCCACTCACTCTCAATTGCTGAAGAATAAGTCCCTTTTACCTTCCCTCCTCTTTAAAAAGCATTAGCCGGAAGTAACAGCTTGTTCTTGGTTATTGAGGCAAGCCTATTCATCTCCATTGATTTAATAGGATGAGAGGTCTCGACATGTTTCATGCTGCCGGTCCACATAGGCAAGCAAAAGCGAGCCGAGTGGATTTTGCAGGTGTCGGTTTGTTTCTAGCTAAGGCTCATTGCGCTGGGTTCTTGTCAGTGGTGTCCCTATAGCACAAAAAACCACGAAGATACATAATGATTATTTTCGGGCGAACCTCGAGCAGGGGTTTAAGCACTCTTGTTCACGACGCATTCGGCCGCAGCTCTTGCTTGTGCAGCTCGGACTGTGAGAATGGAGGATGTATTACAAGAGATAGGATCTGGAAACCATTCATCGCAGAAATGGGAGTATCCGGGAGATACCCCCGTGATCGCCGTGTTGGGATCTTGCTTCTCAAGGCACACACTTGAAGGGAACCATCTGCAAAGGTAGTTCAAACAGATGCCAAGGACAGAAGTACCCTCGGGGGATACCTTAGGATTCGCAGAGATGGTAATGAGCATACGGTTGGATCGGGGTGCTATCAGTTCCATATCAAGTTTCCGGCGAGGTGGGCAGAGGATCCCGGAAGTATGTAGGTATGATGTGGTACAGATTCCGCTGTCATATGGTGCTGAGACCCATCGACGAAGCCATCAGGGCTCCGTTTGCTCTGACAGACATACGACCCTGGACCACCATATTAAAACATAGCAAATATGGCTGTTGAAGGAAGGATTGATGTCATATTGACATCCCGTGGCTTACCGCCACTGATTGGTAGTTAGTTGTTTTCTTGTTTTTAGTTCTTAAAATATCTATCTTTCTTTATTAAATAGTTTTTACTATTTATTTTAGCTATAGGTTTACAAGTATTCTTGCGGAGTTTTAAAAAGTATTAATAATTAGTATATATTTTAGTAATTACTTTACCAGGCCCCTTTAAAGTAAAAAAACAGTATTTTTTTTATAAGAGGTAATAAAAAAGAAGTCCTGGGAAGAACTTTATTTATTAATAAAAAGCTAGTAAATTATTATTTTTTATTTTTTTATTATTTTTAAAGCTATATATTATTATTACCTTTATTACCTTTATTATTCTTTATTATTATTTATAAAAAAGCTTTTTTTTTACTATTTACCGCCGTCCCATAATATTATAAAAATTAAAAGGTAAAATTAAAAAAAAGTATTATAATAATAAAAAAACTTTAATATTATACTAGGGTTATTAAAACCCTTATTAATAAATTTCATATTATTACTAACCTTATATAAGCCAGGAGAACCTTTTAAAAATAAATTAATTAATAAAATACCTAGCCATAAATTAATATTTTTAGGTAAAATTAAAAAAAATATAAAGCTATACCTTAACTAATACACTATTTTATAAATAATAAAAAATTTAATAATATAAAAAAAATTTATATTATTATAATAACTCTTGCAGGCTTATAAAATTTAATAAACTATTTTATAAAAATTTTTATTAAGGTAAACTAAGTAAATATAAAAATACTTTATAATAAGCTTAGGGAAAAGTTTATAAAAAAAAATTTTAACTATAATATTATAATATTAAAGGGAATTATAAAGCTATAATAAAAAAATTAAAAGTTTAAAAAGTATTTTAAAATAATATATAAGCTAAAAGTATAGTTACCTATAAAAAAAGTACTAAGTAATTTTTTTAAAAAAAGTAATTAAAAAATTATTAAATATAATATTTTAAAAAGTTTTATTAAGGCATGTAAAATTAAAAAAGGAAATAAACATGCTTATAATACTTAATAATATTTTAAAAATAGTTACTAAATTAAAAGAGTAAAAGGATCTAGTAAAGTAAATTACTAAAAAATTATTAAAAAAAATTACTTATTAATAGTATTAATGCGTAGAACTAATAAATATAAAAGTTAATAAAAATATATATAAAGTTTATTAATAGTATTAACCACTGCCTAGTAGCTATTAAAAAAGGCTAAAAAGGTAAAAAAACTAGTACTAAAAATGCCCTAGTAATAAAATTATAATAGCTAGCCTTAAAAAGGTAATATTTTTATTATAATAAATATAGGTATATTATATTATATTATTATAATATATTAAAAAAAAATATAAAATTAGCCTTGCCTGCCCTTAAAAAACCCGCTATATTAGTTATAGTAAAAATAAGTAATATTTTTATTAAATTACTTTTAGTAATAATACTAAGCTCTAGGTTAATTAATATAAATATTATAAGGTTTATTAATATAAAAAAGTTAAAAATTTAAAATTAAGATAGTAAAAAACTAAATATACTTACTAAAATTATTTATTATTTTAATAAAGTAAAGGCTATAACTATAAAGCTATAAAGGTTATATATACTAGGTAAAAAATAAAATTATAAAAAGGCTTTTAATAAATTAATTAAATATCTTAAATACTAACATGCCTATAAAAAAATTAAGTGCTTTTAAAAAAATAGTATATAAAGGCACTAAAAAAATAAGTAAAAGTAGATTTTTATAAAATTTTAAATATATAAATAATTAATATTACTTTTACTTAGCTACTTAATATTATACCGCAGGCGTGCTTAGTAGTTAGCTAATTTTTAAAGCTATAGCTAAAGCAACGCAAAAAAAATAGTAAATATAAAAATAAACAAGCCTTAAGCTAAAAAAGTAGTATTTAAAATAATAATTAAGCTATTTATAAAAAGGGCAAGAACTTTATTAATAAAAATATAAAATTAAAAATACTAGTAAGAAGCGCTCTCCGCAACTATTAAGATATATATAGTATAAAAACTAAAAATAAAGTATAATTATTATTTTTAACTAAAAAATTCAGACGCCGCGGCGTTGTTTTACACTTTTAATATTATAAAGGTAATAATAAAAAATAATTAACTAAGTTATATAAAAGCCTAAAAAATGCTTATTAATAGCAGTTATTTAGTAAATATTATTTTTTTAAAAATAGTAAAAAGGTTAAATATATAACTTACTAAAATTAATCCCTTATTATTAAGCTAATTAATAAAAAAATTACTTATACTATTTAATTATAATATATAGTTAATACTTAATATTACTAGGGCTTGCTAAGTAATAGCTACCCTAGTTATTAATAATAAATTTAGCTTTATTATTTTACTTAAATATTACTAAATATTAAGCATTAATTTAAAAAAATAATATTATATTATTACTTACACACTTAAAAATAATACTAGAAAGTAGGTTAATATTTTAAAGACATTTTTTAAAATTTTATTAAAATAAGTAATTATTAATAAAAATAACCTTTTTAATTAATTTAGTTTTAAAAATTTAAACTTTAATAATTATATCCGGCCCAAGGCAATAGCAAAAAATTTAAATAATTATATTATTATAATAAATAATAAATTATATAATATTTTAATAAATATTAAAACTAAGGTATTAGCATAGCTTTTATCCATAGCTATAAAAATAAATAATAGTAATAGTAATAATAAGAATAATAAAAATAAAAAGCTTACTTTAAACTTTATAACACGGGTAAAAAATTAAAACTATTTAATAGCCACCAGGGGCTACTAAATAAGGATTTTAACCTTAAAAAAGAATTATTAGCCCTAGCATTCTTAAACCTTTTTATAATAGCTATTAAAAGCTTAAAAGTTATACTAATAAAAAATATTAGGCTATTTAACTAAGAATTATCTAATTTTTTATTATAGGAATATTAATTTAAACCCTATTATAATTAAATAAATAAAAAAGAATAGGACGCTGCTTAAAAACTTTTTATTTACTAAAAAGTAAAATATAAATATAGCATACTTATTATATGTATAAAAAAAATTTTATTTTAAATATACGTAATGTCCCGTAAACCATGTTTATAATATATTTAATATTATTTTATTTAAATACTTAACCTTATGCTGCAAAACTAGCCCTATATATATTTAAAAAATAATAATAATAATTTAATAATATTTTACTAATACTTAAGGCTGGTATAATAAAGCACTATATTTTATTATAAAGTACTAAAACTAAGTGTTTATAAAAGCTTAATAAAAACCTTTATATAATTTATTAGTATATTATATTAAATACCGCTATAATTAAATTAAACTACCTAATAAAAAAATTAAAACTAGTTATAAATAA